CTCAGATATCTATAGATACTCGAAGATTCCTGACTCTAGAAACTGGATATTTTCAACCATTGGAAATGCCATGATAAAGGTGTAATGCTTATGAAGGCAGGTTGTTTAAATTTCATCTTTTGCTTTTGCTGTTTGTGTTTGAAAATCGATCACTGCAATGCTAATGCTAAGTTTGGGCTTGCTGGCTTTGTACAGATCTAAATAGATCTAAATATAGTTCACTTTGATGTCTCCACAGCAAAAGCCTTGTCAGAAAAAATGAGATTGTCAAAGTTTTTTTATAAGGTTCTAAAAGGAATTTCTAAATTTGTATTTGCAACAACTCATTCATTCCACACAGATTAAATATAACTCTAAATTTAAAATTATAACTGTAGCAGTGCATAAGGTGTAATTTCAATTAACATTTGATAGTGTATTTGATTACATTTACATTTGTTATATGTGCCATATTTTTTCAAATAATAAATTCTGACTGTCTCTCGTTATATGTGTGCAGTTCTTTCAAATAAAAAGACAGCATTTCCTCCCTGTGAAAAATAGTGCTCTTATCTTGAATTCAGAGTTGCAACTATCTTTCTACTTGCAAGCTTCAAACTTATTCAGTTTTGGAAGACCTGAAACCAGTAGAATTTCATTAATTCTATCTTGGAAAGAAAAGACCCCCTAAGGGGTCCATTGTCCCTCTCAGGGGGTTACTCCCACGGGGTTTAACTCTGGGACTCTCCACCATTTGACCCTAGAACTGAAGAAGCTTCTCGGATGAGAGGTGAAATGTCTTCAAGCAACTTAAAGAAGTCCAGACGCTTTTCTTTCCAAGCTCCTTGGGCTACAATGACCTGGATGACTGAGAACCTTCACAGACATTACTCCTATCCCCATCACAAAACAAATGTGGAAGTCTCTTTACAATTGACTCTGTATTGGAATTTCTTTTATTTATGTATTGGTCACATTGTTTTATTGTATAATGCGTTGGTGCCACTGGGTTTTTAGCATGTCTGCTTCACACTTTATTCAGGAAGTTGGGAGGGAGCATTCACGCAGGAAAAACCCAAAATGTTGTGAGAATCCCACAGTTAGTGGAATCCTTTGTTAGATCCAAGGTGTTAACGAGAGAGACTTTATTAAAAGACATAGTTACTCTTAAAGCGAATCAGTCGACTTCAAGGCATGGGAGTATTTTTATTTTAGCAGTCTGTAACAATGTTTAAGAGGGTGGCACGCCTCAAAGTTTCCAAAGACAGAAACAGAGCAGAACATTAATTAACAAAAGGATAATCAGTGTAATTCATTTCACCCAGCAGTGGTTTTATAGTTAGGGGTTTAGGCTGATTGTTAGTTTTCTTGGTTTGCTTAAACAGACCATAAGCATTTTTTTCAAGTGATAGGTTATCAGAAACTACATCCTGTTTTTTTCACAACTGAAGCAGAGGAAATTGTCTCTGACATTAATCTAAAGATCCTATTTAACACATCTTTGCACGTAGCCAAGCAATACTGAGATACAGATGTAAACAAATAAGCTACAGCTAAAATCCTACACTGGTGCACCAAAATAAATGTGAAACACCTTAAGCATATAGTACGAAGAAGAAGGTATTAAAGCAAAGGTGGCCCAAAATAAATGTATAAATAGATGAATCAATGATACCTTTCTCAACAGTTTTATTGTCTTCTTATTACCAAATTAATAAATCATTATGTTTTGATTTTTTTTCCAAATGATTCAATTCATTTTTATTTATGTGACACTTACAACACTACTTAAGTGATGATACCTTTGCTTCAAACACTGAACAGCATAAAGCAGTAATTAATCATCGCTGATTATCTACAAAGAAGAAGCAGTCAGGGTGCAGTACAGTATCTCGCTGTTTCATAATTACCAGCGTATTACTAAATTAGTGCATCCCTTCAAAGAAAGTACATTGAGTAATTTCCCTGTAACTTTAAAAGTTTAATCATCATATGCCTGAAGGTTAAACGTACATCACTGATGAAACTAACTGCCTTATCTTTTAAACAAAGCATCTTTCAGTGGTTAAGATTATAAAGTCACTCTAAATAAAACAAAATGTAATTTAATGAAACTAAATATTTAACACTTACGATGATATTTAGGACTGCTGATGTGCTTGATTGTGGTTCAAAGCCACATCATGGCTCATGCAGTGCACAGTCACATCTTACAAATAATTATTCAAAGACTGAAACAGACAGTATGTGCACTGCTGCTCTTTAGTATTTCAGTTGTGATCTCACCACCATACACTCATCTTTGTTGCTGTAGGTGCAATTTGATGTGAATCATAGAAGAAAACCACACAAACACACAGAAGGATGGTGCCAGAAATTCTTACTCATAATTTTGTTGTGTAATTATTAGTAATTATTTATTCTTAGTCCCTCACCCCATTTTTTTCCTAATTTCAAACCAAACAAACACATTCTACTCTATCTGAGCGCACAGGGTTTGTTTTGAATACCAGTGCACTTTGTCTAGCAATCACATTCACACTCACAGGTGCAATGGATACAATTCTCAGCATCTTATCCGAGGATTCTTATAGATGCAGACTGGAGTATGTGGAAATTAAACCACCAACCTTCAATTTGTTAGACAACCCAGACTACCACCTGAACGACAGCGGCCCATGTTAACATGCACATCATGTGCATTTCTTTTAAATCACCATGGACAAACAAACAATGCCACTTTTTTAAAGCAACACTATGTGCAAAATCCAACATTGCTAATGTTTATATTTATTGATTGCACGTGATTTTTATAACTAGACTTAAACCAAAGCGTATAACTGTCATGACTTAATGCTGTTTATCTCTTGTTTTGTAGAGGCTGTGTTTTTCAGCATGCTTTTATATATGATATATAATAAATTACTGCACTGTGCATCTTCTTTGAGACTAGCAGAGAACAAAGAATCCACAGTTTGTTTTGAACCAGATTTTTAAACAATAAACTGCATTTTCTCAGCACATCCAGGCATGTATGCTTCTCTATGTATGCACAACATTGTTTCCTAGTGAAGAACAAGCATTGCTTCATTAAGAAGAGGTCCACTATTGACTTAAAGTCTAAATTGCAGCTTTCTTCTCATTAAGAACTTTCAACCGGACACAGTAGTTATCACTGATGTACTCTATATGGCTGAAGTGGAACAAGAGAAATCCTGTACTGCAAGTTAGATTTTTTTTAAGCATGAGTTCAGACACATAAAGACAGCACTGCCTCCTTGTGAAGAAATTGCATTGATGCACCTTGGATGTACTGTTTCAGTTGTCTTTTCATTTATGAGCTTTCTAAGCAAATGTGTATGATCTGAACTCACATTTAAATGCTTCATATGGATACTAACAGCATGTGCCATTATTTCCAGTGGAAAAAACATATTTTGTCTCCTATAATATTCTTTCATGTTTTAAACAGTCAATCTATGACATGTATTATATTATTCTCTCTCTCATAATAAATAGCAATAGTGATAATGTCAGATACAGTCATAAGTCTTTCGATGCTGTGATAGAATGACTTTCTTTATTATCATACCATAATTTATACTGAATGACTGAAATTTTGATCAATTATGATTTATGTCTGTCAGGGACTGTGACCCGGAGTCTCGAGTTTATTTTGTGTTTTTTCTTTCTTACTTAAGAGTCATGTGTTACTCTTAGTTAAGGTTGTAGTTGAGTTATTTTGTATTTTTGATTACTAATGAAATAATGTTCTGGTATTATTATTAGTTTGTCTTCTGTGTCTTGTGTCTCGCCCTTCTATGTCTCGCTATTCTCTGTATGTGCATGTGTGTGTGTTTTACGGGTCTCGTCCCCCTTATCTGTTCCCATGCTCTTCTCCCTGTGCTCCTTTCCATTCCCCCAGCCTGCCATGTAATTCTTGCCTGTGTGTTCTACGTCTTATTGTCAAGTTTG